TGAATCCGGTTTATTTTTTGTCGTGATTGCAATATTCATTAGGGCTAAACGAAGCTTTGTAAACTTATGTTGTGTATCAAATTATTTGAATAAACTATTTCTAACAGTTTAAGACGCAAAATATATTTGTTTAAATACTTACGGCGCCCTGAAAACACTGCTGCTGATAAGCAACCTAATATTAAGTAATCTTTTTGCGTTTGAAACCGTTAAAGGTGTTTAATTAAAATGTGTACTATTTGCGTAAACTACAGACTATACTTAATAATATGTAACAAATTTTTATCGCGTTATAAGCCGTTAAAAGTGTTTTTACTTATACCACTTTTATGCTGCCTGCAAAACAGAACCAATGAGGAAAGCAGAATATATCTTTAAGACACGTATATGATTATTATTATTATCTTATTATCCGTCTTCAATTATGTAATATTAAATCATAAATGACCGCATCTGTAGCTAACTGGCTAAACGTGTAGCATTGCGTTTAAAGCGAGAAGACGTAGGTTCGAATCCCATGGAAACAATAAATGGTTACGGTCTCATCAAGTCTCATCAATTACTTACCTATACAGAAAACTGATCAGTAAAACAGACATAGAAATGTGTTCGCACCCATGCCCCATTAGAGGGAAACGGGATTTATGTAGTGATAAAGATAAGAAGTTAATTTATTTAGGTTTTAATTAGTTTTTATTAAGCATGTCAAATCTGATTACTGTCTGTAGTTTACGCGAGTAGTACACATTTCACTAAAACACTTTAACGGTTTAAAACGCGATATATTTTAGTTAAACTTGTTGTTTGAGAAAAAATAATTTTCAAACAAGTTTAACTAAAATATATCGCGTTTGAAACCGTTAGATTGTTTTATTTAAATGTCAAATCTGCTTCAAAACATGAAAGCGTACAACGAATCGGACCTTGTAGGTAATACATAAACAAACAGAGCCCGCTGAATTTCAGCAAAATGAATTTCACGCAAAAAACGTATTACATCAGCATAAATGTATTCCGTGGGCGCATATCATTTGGCCAAGAACGAGCGCAGTAAAGGCTGTATATGAAAATAAAAATAGTTTCCTTGTAGAAATAAAAATACCCACTACGAGCAATTTCATTCTCTACAGCGAAATAAAAAATCTGGGTCAGGTAGCTTGTACACACAAACTCTTGTGTTCACGCGGATCTAGTTGGACTAGATGCCGTCTATAATTTTTATAGACATTTTTATGTGGACAAGGATAGACAACAATGGGGGTTCATTTGATAGAAAGTGATTTCAAAGCAACCCCAGATGTATAACGCTTTATGAAGATGTCGACTTATTCTGGATTTGAATATTCGGCAATCCACAGACAGAACCCAAAATGCAATTAAACCACACGACTGCACGACACATTTTCAAACAAACAAATTAATTTGAAACAAGTTGGATCCGGTAGGATTAAATTCCATACCTTAAAACTTACTCTACATGTAGAAAAACCTAATCTAGTAATTTTCAAAAACCTATTCTAGTTAAGTAATGTAGAATTGTAGTGTTTAAAGCATTCGTTACTTTGATTTCATTAGTAATTGTGTAATACTTAGTGTTTCTAGATGTATGTATAGAAATGTAATGGCGCTTCCAGTAAGATTAATTAAAACTACATCCGTGTTAGGCTAACCGACGTGGATGCAATTTGATGCGGCATCACCACTGCGCCTGGACTGCGGAAATACCACTGGATTCAGCTTAAGCTATTTGATAATAGTATGCTCACAAACATATAAGATTTATGACACCCAAAAGGCTGCAATAATTTTTATATTACTTGGCATAAACGTACCTAACACTTGGAAGAACTTCTGATGCAGCTGGTGTAATGCTGTATGGCTAGTAATCAACAGGTCGTGGATCTGATCCCCACCTAGTTCAACGTGCTTCTATTCTATTTATAATTGTTCTGAAAAATGTTGGACTTTAAATGGTCAAAAACCTCCGTCCACAGATGAAAAAGTTTAATTGCGTTACGGTTGCACTCTGTGGATTTCCGAATATCCAAAGACAAAATAGCTGTTAAATCTCAGTATTTCACCTAATATCAAGGGAAGATCTATGCTTGCCTGTCCTCCTCTCACTTAAAAAAGACATGTGTCTCGAGAAAAGGTACCAAGGGAGCAGCAGACATAGGGTTCCTTATAATAATAAAATTGACGTTATTTTTGGATAAAAAATATAAACTATTTAATTTCAGTCAATCTGAAACTAATTTAAACGCTGAAAAGATGCAACAGTTCAACTTTTAATTACGTGGCAGGAAAAGCGCATTGTTTATTTAAACAATAGTTAAAGTTGGCTTAAAAACAACAAAGGCCATTGTAGTGAAGCTCGGGATAGTCTTCGACGAATTTAAATAAGCTACAGAATATATGATTTAAACGAAACGGAAAGAAAAACTAGGACTTCATTTACTTAGTCTGTTAAAATTTGTATTCTATATTTGAAATGTATTTTTAATTATACTACAAGATAGGCGGGATTCGAACCCACGACGGATGGGTGTAATGGTAAGCAGTGTATGGCTATTAGTAAACATGTCGTAGATTCGATCCCCACTGGGATCAAATTCTTTCTAATCAATTTATAAATTTTTTGAAACGTGTTTGAATTCTCATATATTATATTGCCTATTTTTTTAAATAAAACATATATACTGATTAAAAACGCGACATGTATTACTTAGTTAACTTTTTATTGTTTTTTTTTACTACATCCTGACGTATTGGGTGCTTGGAAAGACTTAAAAATAGGATAAAGTTACTATATATCGTGTTATTTTAAAAATCGAAAATAAATTGAAAAAAATTTCTACTCGGGCAGGTCTTGAACCGGCATCGTCAATGTTCCGTGCTGTTGCTCTAGCAATTGAGCTACCGAGTCGAAACTATTTTCAATTTATTTTCGATTTTTAATTTATATTGTGCCTTCATGTAGAATAACATGTGAAAAATATTAAAGATTTCAAATATTTCGTGTTTTAAACCGTTTAAAGTATTTTGCCTACGTTTTTCATTAAAATCAATTACCTAGGCTTTGTAAATAGCAAATTGGATAGATTATCAGTAACATACACAAAGCACAAACAAGTCGCCATGTTTTAACTACATATAGCGTGCCAACTAAAATGGAAATTCCAACAAAGCTAGAATCTATCGTTATTTGTAATCCTCTAAAACAATGGGCCGCGTCACATCGGTGATGCAACCTTTCGGTGCGTTTCGGGCTTAACTCTGCCTCGGTCAGCGGTTGCATGAATCCATTTGCTAATTACCTGTTGTGATAGGAATTATCGATTTTCAGGCCCACTAATGTCACATGAGATGAAATGCCTAGGTTAAGTATTGTTTACGCGAGTACTACATATTTAAATAAAACAACTTTAACTGTTTAAAATGTGACCACTACTGATAAAAAGCATTCGAAACGACGGGTCGTGATTAAAAAAATAAATTGACATATATATTAAATACTACCTGTAGTTTACGTGTTTTATTTAGATGTACACATTTAAATAAAACACTTTAACTGTTTAAAACGCGATATATTGTATTAGTTAAACTTACTTGAAAATTAAAGTTAAAATAAAAAAGTTAACTAATACATATTATATTTCGCGTTTTAAACCATTTAAAGTGTTTTATTAAAATGTGTACTATTCTAGTGAACTAAACTGAATTATATATATTTAAATTTAAACGTATTAGTTTCTCTTCTTAATGTCAATTGAAAAAAAAATCTATAAGAAAGGAATCCAAGCCGTTCAATGTATATTGTTTGAAAGAAACATTAATGGAATAAGCAATAAAGGGTTTAAGTTCGATACCCAGACTTTGAAATAAGCCGTCTATCCTTCCTATTCTTAGACGCAAGGCATACCGTTTATTTATCGCGTAATATCCCGCTCGGAGTATTGTTGGGGCCATCAATAATTCATGTTGCCTGTGAGTTATAGCGGCGACGATCTTCCTGGATTTCCTCTCGATTTCTGATGCCCTGGTACATTGCATTATATTGCTGAGCGAGACCACTTAAATGAGACAAGGTTGCAGTTATTTCATAGTACATTTATAAGTGCGGTAAGTTGAAAAGTACAGCCGAGACGAAGAAGGCAGAGGCTGTAATTTTCAAAGCGCACGTATGTCATACGACGTTTTATAACATATTTACGAGGAAATTAATAAAAACAATAATACAGCGAAAAGAGAAAGCGCGCGGAATTATTTTTACTTGTCCACAAATAAGCGATGCGCGCGCATCAATTATATTTTATTTCCAAAGTTAATTTTATTCATAAAATAATGACGTAAAACCTCCTTGACATAAAACCTCTTTGCTGAGATTTTTAAAGGTATCGTTCATTTTTAGACGGAGTATCTTAAAACTTTATTTTAAAAAACATGTGCCTTTTACATAACATTATCGCACAAGTACGGAATGAGATACATTACGATACTGAAATTGGTGTAATTACAACCACTTTACGAGCAAATATGTTATAAAATAATTTAACGTCATCAGCCGCTAATCTCAAGGTAATAACCATTTGTTTGTCTATATCAGCAAAACAAATTGATAAGTTTGTCTTAGGAAAGTTACTAAATGTTATACTGAAATATAAATGAAGGTTTACAAAAAAATAGCGATTATGTAAATATTTGTCTATCCTAAACCTTGCATCTTAAATAATTAAAAATCAATATGTAGTCAAAATATTTTACATTCACGAAAGTAGTTGTTGTCAAAAGGTAGTGGATACGAGTATCTGTGTCTAATTTTTGAGTCGTAAAATAACAAACATTGTATCTGGTTATTCTTGGATATACTACACTACCTATGTCAGCGACTTCGTCCGCGAGAATCGTTATTTGAAAAAAAAAATATGTATACGTACATTTCGATTATTTACCGACAGATAATACTATACAAATAAAACGATACTGTTAAGTGTAATGTTTTATAATAGTCCCAATAGCCTCCTTACATATTTCCCATTAACTTTCATTAGTCCATACACTGGTATAGACTGTTTTGGTTCTTCTTCCTTGGTCAAATCTAACGGTTCATAGTCCAAATTGTCCCCGTCTGGGGACGGTTTCTCTAATAACTCAAATGCTTTCTCTTCATCTAGAACTGCTTTTTGTACTTTCTTCTGATTGCTTCGCTCTCTGGCAAGAAATTGATAAAATAAAACCTTAAATTGGTTCCTCATAACATTTTTAATAGTTAATAAAACACTTTAAACGGTTTCTTACAGAAAATATGAAGCGAATTACTCTTATAATATGTATTACGTATAACAAATTTATATAAATTGGAAATACTTTCTAATATTTATTTTAAAGTTAGGGGTGTGCGATTAACACACTAGTGGCTTGCAATTCCATTTAATTCGACAAGTCTGTACGTGAAAATATAGTCTAACGAGCGGCCTTACTTCTATCAAATCATCTCTTTGAGACAAACATAACATTAAATATATATTGCTATATAGAGGAATATAGTCTTACTTTCAGATCCATCCGAAACATCGAACCGTGCCCATATAAAATATTTTGTAAATATGTTATAGTTTTTTATTTAAATGTGTACTACTCGCGTAATTACATACAATACAGTCTTACTTATTTATCAGTAGCTCATGGTTGTTCACCAGCTCGTAATTCTTACTCTTTATTTCGTCGACGAATTTCTGCGCCGCCTTCTTCGCGAACACGTCCGCCAATTTTCGTAGATATTTCAACGAGGTCTCAGACGCTAACGTTTTTATTATCTCGACAGGATCGAGTTTCACTATTATTTGGTGGTCCTCACTCTTCGTCTGCGATATGAATAAGAGAAGCAATTGAATTTTTAATAACATCCTCCGCGGTCGCAATAAAAACTTTATTGTTTGCAGTTTTCCATTTTACTACTGTGTCGTGTTTGTGTTTAAAATGCGGTTTGATAGAAAATTTTATTACTGATTACGTTGTAGACGTGTTTAGGTCGCGTTGATAATTTTCTTTGAAATCGAAAAAGTAAAATTGCTTGTATCATTGAAAATAATTTTAACATTTACAAGATAAGGATGCGTTTAATTAGCACCTACAAAATTTTGCTTAAATATTTAACACTTAAATACTGTCTATAGTTTATGCGAATAGTACATATTTAAATAAAATTCTTTAACGCTTCAAAACAAGATATATTAGTTTCGGATGCTTAGCCGTGGTCATAGGGAGACTAAATATGAAGGATGTCTTTGATGTCAAAGTAATTCTGTAAGGGCCCGGCCAGTTTCACCAAATACCAACTTCGACGTAACAGATGGCGCTAGTGTAGCATTTTTTACTTTGATGTCAAAGACATCCTCCATTTTTAGTCTTCTCACGACCACGGCTGCTGCAAAGCATCCGAAACGTCGGGCCGAAATTAAAAATAATTTTCAAATAAGTTTAACTATCGCGTTTTAAACCGTTAAAGTGTTTTAATTAAATATTTAACACTTTATGTAGTTTTTAACGTGAATAAATTAGTTAAACTTATTTTAACTAAGGCCCGACGTTTGCATGGATGCTTTGCAGCTATTAGCAGTTTTTAGTTTGACATTAGACACACCCTCTAACTTTACTCTTCTCGTGACCACGGCTGCTCCAAAGTATCCGAAACGTCGGGCAGTAGTTAAAAATTATTTTGTAATAAGTTTAACTAATTCATTTCGCGTTTTAAACAATTACAGTGTTTTATTTAAATGTGTACGACTCGTGTAAACTATAGATCGTGTTTACATTATGTAGTTCTACTATAATGAAACAAACAATATTCTTAAGTGGCAAATACATGGAACGATTAAGTTCTATGAATAATATAGTGACCACATATGTCGCGTGTCTGTCCACCTACAGATGATGCCTTAAGGCTATAGGAAACCGCTCGAAAACTTATTGGAAATTGAATAATAAATAAAAAGCGTGGGGATGTGTAGTCGTTTGTTTTTTACGGTCAACCGGCTTGACCAATTTTGGAGAAATTTTTGTTCATTAAAATGATGGTCGTCGTCTGAGAAACGGACCGGGGTAGTCTTCGGGCGATAAAAAATTGTTTCGGTCGAGGCACAGACTTACGTGGTTGTTAGAAATGCAGAAATTCCATCTATCCACAGATGAAAATCGGCGAAGTTTTTTTATATTCACCTTCCATCAGTTGAACCCCGTGCTTATCTATCCTCGTCTCATCACCTTAATAATACCAAGGCTTACTATTATACACTTCGTAGCCATAATATATTCACTAACATCCGCAAACATCTCAGAGTGATATTGTCTCTCGAGCAATAATTGCAACTTAAGCAATATAATCAATAACTGCGCCTAAGCACCGACTGAGTATTGGACTAGTTGCGTTTCAATATCGGCCATAACTGGATGCCTCCTCAATTATTGACAGAGCTTGCTGTTCAATAGCTTGCCCGGTTGCGGCTAGTGCCAGGGCCGTACTCTAGGGCCCCAGATTTTGGGCTTCAAAAAGGAAACGGTTTTATTTGATAATACGTATGTATGATGGTGCCTCTATTGAAACAGTTATAACAAGTCTTAAAAGCTTTAATTTTTTTTTATTAATTAAATAGAAAATAATAAAAGCCCAGTTTATGTAAAACAAATCATAGCGTCACAAGTGATTTATTTAACGATACATAACATACAGGAATCACTTGATGGAAGGTGTAATACCCCAGCGATATAACATCTCACAACATGCTCGATTAACCTACTCGGCTTTTACAAAGTTATCCGTTATTTGAGGCCCCAAAATTCCTGAATACGGCCCTGAAAGCAGTTACGTGAATTAATAATATCATCGCAGGGCCTTGCAATGTCTGATATCCACCGTAAACAGATTTGCTGCCTCCCGCTTTATTAGTTTGGACTACTATATCAGTTTAATTAATTATATTAATGACGCAAGCTATTTGCCAAACGCATAATTTGCTATTGTTGGTTTGATTCTCGGTAAGGTAATCAACATATTTGCGCAATAATACTACTAACGGCTTCTTGCATTTTAGATGACTACTGCTGTGCTTCAATATTTAAACACTTAACTTCATGTATTTTATAAATAAAAAAAGGGATTTTTTACTCTACAAAATTAATAACGTCTTCTTTTTTTGCTCTCGATGGACAAATTGTAGCAATGTATATGTATGTAAATAAGCAACCGGTTCCGACATGTTTCTAACCAACGAATAACGTCGGGCCGTAGTTAAAATAATTCTATAATAATCTTTAAACCGTTAAAAGTGTTTAAATTAAAAATACATATCTTGGTTTTTTATTTTATACAAATATTTCATAAACTAACTCCCTATTAAAGTGTTTAATTTAAATGTGTTTGTTTAGTACATATTTAAATAAAACACATTTATATCAACTTCGACGAAACAGATGGCGCTAGAGTAGAAGTTTTTACTTTGACGACGGAAACACCGTCCATCGTTGTTAAAATATTTTTTAAATAAGTTTAACTAATATATATCGTGTTTTAAACTGTTCAAGTATTTTATTTAACTCCCACTAAAGAAACTTACGGTTACCAGGAACTAAGGCGTATTATTGCTTACATTGTTGCCCTACAAGTTGTTTTCATCAAATAAAACGTCGCAATAATTCAGTATCAAGGCTTCAATAAATATTTATTAGACGTCTATCGAGGCGGTGTGGCGGAGTGTGAACAAAAACGGCTATAAAATAAAACAATGCCATCGCTTGTATTCAATGCGATCATAAATGGCCTCTTAGATGGCCGCGATTTGATTTGGCGGATGTTAGGCTGGGGGTACATGATGTAGTACCACCAATAAGGCCAATTACACATTATTTATTTAGTTTGTCCTAACTAACGTAAATTGTATAAGGCCTTTGCGGTAGTTTTCCGAAGATTTAGGGATTTTCAAGCTTGGGTTCACCTTCGGCCACAGCTTCTGATGGCGAACCCGAGTATAGGAATGGACGTCACTGACGCTGTTGAAATAATTGTGACATTTTTTTTAAGCCGGCCTTTGGCCTGCTAGTTTAAATAATAATCATTTTTAGTATTCATAGAAACTCCTTGGCGTAACTTATAAATAACTCATAATTTGTATTATCTTATTTTAGAAATTTTATTATATAAAATTTAAAAATAGGTAATGTCATCTGTTCTAATTAGAACGTATTACACTATTCTGACAGGCTGATCTATACATGGCTACCTACTTACCGGTTCTAACGGGTTTCCTGAATGTTTATTTTATGTTTAAAGATGTTTAAAAGTGACGCTTCAAATATCAAAATTACGAGTCACGAATAATCATATATAGATAAAAACCCCTTCAGTCCAAAGACATAAAGGCTTAAATAGGTTTCATAAACGGACTTGTGTTTTTTGTATGCAGCACGTGAATTAAATGAATAAATAGACGCCTAAAATATCGGTATATTACGCCAGTGTATCCTCTGCCTATCTAACATAAAAGCTAATGCGTAATATGACCGCTGTAACTCGATCCCCAAGCTATCCCGCTTTGTGACTAGTCTATACCAATATGATCCTGTTTTACTGTCTGATTGACCATGCGAAATGTTTAATACTTCTTTGTTCCATCCATTGCAAGTTGTAGATTCGATCTTCAGCTAGACAGGTGCAACTAAATTAAGATCTGATTAGTAGTCTGTAGTATACAGATTTAGTAAACATTTAAATAAAACACTTAGTGGTATGAAATGTGAAATATATCAGTTAATTATTTTACAATGTATTTTAAATACGCCACGGTGTTTCGGCTTCTTTGAAGTTGCCGTGGTCTGTTTGAAAGGTCTTTCTAATGTCAAAATTAAAACTGCTGCTGTTGTCTAAATCTTATCCTTTTAAAATAATATATCTAAAGTGTTACTTATCGATTAATTATATCTGTTTCCTTACATTTAATGATTTGATGGCCATAATAAAGCAGCAGATTTTATAACTAATTTTAAATATACAAAGATAAAATGTTGTACATTAAGTACTTAACATATAAGCCATTGCGAATATACGCAATGTCTGTCTTATATGTTATAACTAGCCGGGTCAGCGACTTCATCCGCATAGAGTAGTTATATACAAAGTTGTACGACCAAAAAATTTAAGCTTTTACCTGTCGCGCCCCGTCGCTCTTGCAAGTTAATCTTAAAAGATAGATATATAGTGTCGTCGACTTTTTTTAGACTCTTTAAAGAGGAATCATTCTTTTCTCAATAAATGCTCTACCCAACACAAAATAATTTTTCAATTCGAACCAGTATTTCCTGAGATTAGCGTGTTCAAACAAACAAAAAAATCTTCAGCTTTACATATTAGTAGGTATAGATACTATATTATACTATTATGTAGAAGTAATTAGTATAGTCACTATAAAGGTATTTTCTAAAAAAGTAGTAACGAATTTAACGTTAGTATAAAAAAAACACCGCATTCTCGTTTATTCTATCATGTAATTGCTTAGGGAAGACGGAGGTAAATATTAGATGTGATTCCTTCTTTTTCTTTTAGTTTCTTGACTGCGCGTCACGGGATATTAATTTAGACTGGTGTAACTAGTAGAAACGTACGATACAGAATAGGGGATGTCAAATGAGTGACAAGCGGTGCGCGCCGACAGTATTGATAGTACGTAGATTTTGTGGATGTGGCATTCTACTGATTTCAACATTGGTTTAAATCAAGAAATAAATAAACTATGTTTACACTGTTGATTCTATATTGTGCAAAATATGGACCATTTTAAAATAAGCATCTATTTTAAATTGAAGAAATTTAATTTATTCAAATTCAACTCGAACGGGATTTGAATCGATACCTACA